CTGAATTCAACGAATTCATGCCAAATTAAGATCTAAGGACTTCTTAGGGGTGTGAAGAATGCAAACAATGTTCTGAAGAGGTAATAACTTCACGCAACTTCAATTATTGCTTGACCATTATTTTCAGAGATCCTTAAATAAGTATGATATACACAGTGGTCTGGCTAATCATGATCAAAATGGCATGGTTCATGCAGCATATACATATACTCATGTATATGTAGGTAAACCTAGATAAACTGTGTTCTTGTCACGAAGATCGGAAAGCAGGTATCAGATGTCTCAGTAAGCAGTGTAATACATGTAAGTTACATGTTTTTATTTGACACAAGCTGGATCTTCACTCACTTTCAGAATTAATCTTGAATTCAGTTGGAATAAGCTTGTTGAGCACATCAGTATTGAGAGAATACAGTGAAAGTAAGTAAACACATGCTTCTTAAGATTAAGTGATACATTTATTTGACATGATTGTATAATTATTAGTTGTCTATCTAAGTTAATGATGAATTCGTTGCGATGATAATACCTATTATTGTTTTTATAGTCACTATGAACATGAATGTCATTATTATTGCTGTCAATACCTATTATTTGTCATAAAGTGGTTGTCATTTTTGCTAAAATATTTGTACAAGCTTTGAAAACTACTGCATAACTTGTTGTTAGATAATTTTATCATTTCATGATGCTTCAATGGACCTACTGGATATCGACCAGCGATAGGTTGCAAAGTCCCTTAAGTTTAGTGAAAACTATTGGGCTACTTATACATATATATATTGTTTGTAAAGTGATTACTTGTAAATGCTTATCAGGAAAAATTTTTTATTCAGATCATGCATGTAATACCCAAGTTAATTATGCCTTTCTTAAACCTTTTCAGACTTATGGAAAAACATATATGTGCCGTGTTCTCAGATGGAACTTACTGACGGTAACAAAGGACTACTCATCTGAATTATCTGTACATTTGAAATCTGATTTTTGTTTAATAAACAATTTTTCAATGAATCTGTCTTCCTTCTGTTGTAATGCGATTGTGTTCCAGTAACATAAGTAACTCGTGCTAAGTTGGGGGTAAATTAACTTTTGTTAGGAGTAAATGCGGTGTCTGGAAAACTTTTGTTTACGTGGTTATAGGAGCAGATAGCAACGCATCGTGTTCCGTGGGTGAGAGCCCTAGGCATTCTGTTTTTAATTATTACGATAACCGTAGTTGCACTGAGTTATACATCTAACAGCATAGGTATAGTCTCTCCTTATGTTACATTGCGACATGCAGAAATCACAAGCAAACTATCACAGGTAAATTTATTCTCACTTTGTGACTATGAATCGGGAATCAGTTTACGTATTCTGCTATGACGATATATAACTCGAAACGCTTTATAATCGCAACACCTTCTCTACGGTTTAGACATATTTACTTTATTTGACCACAACATAATCTTTTACCAATAGGCTTTTCCAAATATCTGCTCCTACTTAGTATTTCAAAGATAGCCTCATATACTCTATACCTCACATATTACGCAAGGGCTAATATTCGGTCTTATCAAGTAGAATAAACAAACGATTAACGAGGAATACATTTATTAATGAATTAACATGTAATACAAAATCGACAACAGTGCAGGTATCTTTTTCTTTATCAACGAAATCCATGAAATTCCCGAAAGTAGATATTATCTGAAAAAGGACATAAGATATATACAGATATAGACATTGTTATCAGTGTTAACACAATAACTAACCATTAAATATGTTTAAAATGACGAAATAATTACTTGAATTGTATATAATTATGTAAGTCCACAGTTTTCAATAATATAAAATCCATATTGCATCTGCCTGCAAACATCAAGTTTATGCCATAAAAAAAGGAATTACTTTGCGTATATAATTTCTAAGTATTTCTGCAGATTTTTCCTAAAGAAATACATATGGAGTAGCCTTGTCAGCATTACGAAAATTAAACAAGGAAGTAAATGATATAATTACCGAAACGAGCTATCCCACCTCGTCATGTCCATGTGTAATCCATTAAAATGCAAAGAAAATTCACGAAAAGGTCATTATAACATGTTTCTTCAAGTAATTCGACGTATTTTGAACGGAAAAGTACGTTTTTCCAAAAAACTGCAAACTGCCTGTAAGCTACGGCCGGATAAGGACACCACCATTGCCTATTTCTGCTAAATACGCCGTATTTCATCAACTTTTAACTGGAATATATGTAAAAAAGTGTGTAAAACAACGAAAAATGACCTAACCTTGACGTCATTTCCAAAAATAACGCCAATATTCATCAGCTGATCAAATGACCTACGGCCGTCTACAGGCTGCCCTAGCCATCTGCCTCCTTTCTATGAGGAGTTTCCTAAGCCGGTCTATCAAGCTGCCTTAGATACCAGGACTTTCCGACTTCACGAGTAGTCTTTTGTGGGGAACTTTACCGAAGTCTTTGCTGAAGTCCATGAAGATGACGTCAGCGGGTCTTGTGTTGTCCCTTGGTTTGGCCCGGCTTTCTCTTGTAGTGAGAAAATTTGACAGGCATCAGAGGTTTCCACGGAAGCCATGCTGAGCTCTGGATAGTAAATTGTTGTTTTACAGATACGCCACGATACTTCTCTTGATGATTCTTTCCACTGTCTTGATTAAAGTGCTGGTGAGACTAATAGGACTGTAACTTGAAGGGTTTTGTCTTGATCCTCCTTTGTAAATGGAGTCACTATGGCGTCTTTCCAGCCAGGCAGTAACACTCCATTTAGGAGAGATAGCTTGAAGATCGTGGTCAATAGGCTGGCTATCTTAGCTGATAGCCCCTTGAGAAGCTCTGGATGAAGATCATCAGGACTCACTGATCTCCCTGCATCTAGTTTCCTTAGGCAGTTGAGCACGGGTCTTGGTCGACCACAACAGGATCTATCCCGTGTCTCCCTAATGCAGCCAGGGCTGGTCCGATGGGGAGTGATGACTCCCGTGTAGACTCTTGTGTATTAAAGCCAAAAGTGGACATCATGATAGACCTATATGGGTAGCATTATACATTGCTAATAAACATTGTCAGCCTAGGGGTTAATTAGTTTCCCACAGTGTTTCCTCTATAAATGCATTTATTAATGATGTATTGCACTTACTTATTCCATTACACTTTAATGATTTACCTTAGCAGTTTTGCTTTCTTAAAACAGCTTTCAATCCCTTGTAAACGTTGTACTTGCCTCAATATTGGTTTGTTATCGTATGCCTACAACCGCGGGTTGAAAACGAAAGGAAGTTGATTTTCCCTCTCAACCTGGAGGACAACTGAACAATTCAATAACTATACAGCCTTGTTCAGACAATGAGTGTATTTATATATATACATCAGATATTTAGCTGTTGAAACATTATTAACTTGTAGACAATCTACGATTTGAGACTATGTCATACTTGATCGTGCCTGTAGAAATGGAGTGCATTTTCATGAAAATCTATATGAAATATATTCCTATTATTATTATAAAAGTAGTTTGAGATTGCTTCCGCTTTTTCTAGATCTTCTTCGCTTGTGTCATTGTCAACAGTCAGGCTTGGGACGTCAATGGATGCTTTATTCCTGAAATTCGTGCACAAGAAAATTTTCTTATATTTGCCATTACACTTTGAGCCAGATATGTTACGAACTTCATACTTGCTTGGCGAGTTTCTGCAATAGGGATGTTGTATAATTTTCCGGTCTCAGGAGTCTCACCTGTGGCAAACTGGTTCTGAAATTTCTGTTCGCGTCTGACTTACGAATCTCTCGGTTAATACAAGGGGGGCAATGTGTCCGACAATTTCGGTCAGACCAAGAGATAAAAGGTTCAGTTAATTGGGCGTAAAGTTGTCTAAACTGGTTCCATGCGGCTTCCACCTGGGACTCTGTGTTGATATACCAGTTCACTGAGTTGGCTGCTGAGACAGTCGGATTTATATCAGCTTTCCAAACGTTTGTTCGAGCTGGAGTTTCGGTCCATGCTGCTACTGTTAACTTGAAAGTGAGCCCAGTGTGATCACTTCTTCCTGAAGGAGAAAGATTTTGTATGAGATCCATATCTTCACTGTGGGACTACACTAGGTCCAAAGTTGATGAGGATTGCTGTGGGTCATAGCGTGTGGGCTTCATGCCATATTGGAATGGGGCCAGAGAAATAATAAGTTTCAGCAGTTTATGGTCAAAGGAGTTGTTTGAACATGTCACTGTAAGACTTATGCAGTCAACTGTTGGGGCGTTGAAGCCGTTGACTAAGAGACTTTGACATTTCGATAACCAGGAGTCTAACTTATTTGTTACGAAGTTATCTGCACTGCGATCAGGACTGCGGTACACAGCAATGAGGTGAATATCTTGGCCTATGCATTGGAGTATTCAGCGTAGAAGTTCGCACGATTCAGTTTCGCCAGCGAGTGCTTCGATGATACGCATGGTTTAGCATTTCTTGAGGTAGGTGACTACGCCACCTCCTTTGAGGCTTAGTCGGTGCACCCTACACACTTCGAAGTTTGGGAGTCCAACTTCGTTATGAGTAACATCGGATGTGAGCCATGTCTCTGTGATGATAATTGCATCCAGATTTCCTTAGTCTATCATATTACCCAGCTCAGTCCGTCTGTTCAACAGGCTTCAGGCATTTGTGTGGAAAACTGTCAATTCAAATCGGCGCTTCCATGGCCTAACCAAAGAGGTTTCGGAATCATCAAATTTCGAGCTGTGACAACCCGAAAACCCTTAATCTTAAGGCTTTTTCACCTCAGACTGTCTTTTGACGCAGTCTGCTATGCATACGTCGGTACGCGGCTCACTACCAGATCTATGGAGATGAGCTTCAGCAGTCATTGTCTTCAAAGGAAACTAATCTCTGCTAACGGAGATCAAAGGAAGTTAACTGACCTACTATGTTACATCTCCTGAATATGAAGTATCAACCCTTGAACTAACTGATGTCCTACAGATTGTTGACAAAATACGCGCCATGGTTGAATCTCCCGCAACTGTAGCTTCTGCAACACAAAGATTAGTCCCTAGAAGGCAGACTATCGAAGATGCCTACTCACCACCGGCAAATTTTTTGGAGATAGATGTGTGCCGACCACTTACACATGGGGATGGAAAGAATCGTTTCACGGATTATGAAGTTAATTTGAGGGTGGGTATATTGACGACTGATCGTAATCGCACTGTTTAGACTAACCTACCAATATTCGCACATAAAGAGTCCTCTGTTCGTCGTCGATACAGTGACTTCCAATGGCTTCGTGATGAGCTAGATCGTGAAAGCAAGGTAGGTGTTTTTGTGAAATTTGGCTTTTAAACAACCGCATAGTAATGTGTCTATTGAAGTGTTTTTTACTTCATGTATAAATTGACTGTGCTACACATTACCATAACTATGTTTTGCAAGTAAAGATTGTGTTTATCTCTCAATGACGAGTCACTAAACTGAATACACGTACTATTTTTCTCAGCTGATGTTATCAGTGGTCAGTTTAAATAGCAATCTCCAACTCAAAAATAATTCACTTGCTTATTAAGCCTCATAAGTAGTCTGTTTCCTGCTACAGGGAAAGCCCAGTTTTCGTGCCTTTCGGCGCCTTCTTGTTGTGATTTCATAGACAGAGTTATAAATTCTCTCCTTCGTAATTTTTGCCAGATTCAGACATTGACTATATCTTTGTAGTTTATCTTACTGGTGCTAAGCAGTCAACTGATAAAATTTGCTTCGGGTGGGCTATATGTTGACAATATAACTGGTTAACCCCCGTAATACCGACCGAAGTTTTTCTGAAGTATTGAATTTTTAGCGCTATGCAAGTTCATGCCTGTTTCAAGGATGTTAACTGTAGTAAATTTTGAGAGGAAGAAAAATATTAAATAACTGAAGACTAATTAGACAAATCTCCTATGCTTTAAGAGCGTTGATCTGTTATCTTTCCATTTTTGTAGATATTTCAAAAAGATTAGCATTTCAGGTTTTAAAATATGCAGAGGTCGTAGGAATGCAGCCAAAATATTGTATAGCAGCAACCTACGCAGACTAGACGTTTTATGATACAAAACATGTCAGGAAAACTGGGATACACCTGATATCTAGTTCTGAATAGTGGACTGGTATTAAGGCTAAGGGGAAAATGAAGTGTATTGGCTTAGACCCTCAATCTGCATTTAGTATGTCATGCTTCAGTCATTACAGCTGTTTGCATTTAAAGGTATGTAAGCTGTTGGCTGAAGTGCGAATTCTCGAACCATTGAGAATAACCATATAAATATTTATTTAATTTCTTGAGCGAAATAGAATTACACAATAAGTGTTGTTAAGATTAGACGGTGGTTAGTGAAGACTCGTCATCCTGTGTTAATTATCAATAACTCTTCTGGTTGAGGTTCCAGTATATCCTCCTCCTTAAGGAGCTGTGTTATCTCAAGTACGTCTGGGTTAGAAGTAATTGACCAATTTAAAATTTTCACCCAACTTATTGAGTTAATAATTATCGGTCTGTGAGTGGATTGTCTGTCTGGGGTTCTCTGGGTATTGAAATTCATTGAAGTCAATCACCTCACGTTTTTTTACCGTTGGAATTCTAAACATATTTATTAGTCTTATTCTCCTATCCTCCGCTTATTCATTGGAGTATTGGAGTGTTCTGTCTTTGCATTTTGGGGTTTTCCAGATTGAACTATATTAGTCTCTATGGGTCTGTGTGTTCTAATTTCTTATCGCCAGTCCTCGAAATCATTTGATTTTTTAATACTGTTTCTAAAACAATGTATTACTGAGGCAGAGACAGAAAACGTTAACATTTTTGCATATTGTTCCAAGTCACAGTCACATATCCAATAGAGAGTAGAATTAACAACAGGGAAATTGGAAAATTATGATCCAAGGCTGTGAGCCATAAGGAGAAAGGATACAAAGAATAAACAGGCAGGTTATCATAAATAAATGTAGGACAAGTGCATGTTGTATCGAAGCCAGTACGCTCGATTCTAAGCCGTCACTTAGAGTCTAGTCATAAGTCCCCGTGGTCATATAGTCATCAGCCGGAAAATATGTACTCCTCTGCAAAGTGTCAACTAACAGAGAGTAATTTCATAAATCACCGTCATGTTTTGATGTGATAACCTTTTGCGTTTTCCTCGCTAATTCCATTCAGCTTATGTAATATGTTAGGATAGATGGTAAATAGATATTCTCAACTTGTGCTCCAGTTATCTCAGATGATTAAGCATTTGCAGTAGCGTAGTATGTACTGTGTTGGATATGAGTAATTGGGAACCGCTCACATCGAACTATTCTGCCCGCTAGTTGAACCGAAATGATGTGAACACTAAACAACCGCTTTACTTGTTCCCGTCTGACCTTACCAATAGTCTTCCCGGTTAGATTCAGCTGCATGCTTTAGTTTGAAGCTGTCTGATGTAGATATAACCCAGTATGCTACTGATGATCTCTCTCCAAAAGGGACGAAGTGGTCATGATTATTTAGTTTTGTCCGATTATTTCTGGTAAATTTTTGCCTCAAACGATGCAATTCACAGATGACATTTAATTCAATTATGATTTTGTCTTCATCGACCCTTACACTTCGTCTTACCTTAAACTCTACGATTAAGTTCTAAATTAACCACTAGATATGTTCAAGCAAAACAAAACTGGTAATGGTTCAGAAGTTGAAATATCTTTGAGTCTATTACATTAAATGACCTTTCTTCATAATCCTGGCGTAAACAGAGTGTACTGCTCCCTTTCCGTGGTACGTGTTACAGTGCTTGTTCTCTTACCTGTATGATTTTGTATGACACGCATAGTTATTTCTCTAGTCCATTCTAAGGTCTTAAGCATGTAAAGTCCTCGTTATTTTGTTAGCCTTTACTATGGACCACAGTCATAAGTTTTCTTACTTAACTGACACAGTGGGTGTAAATGCAATCAACAGCTCACATATTATTCATATCGAGTCACTGTCTTCGTCAACAAAGAATGTTAGGTTAAGTAGAATTGGACTAGAGAAGAGTTAGAGGTAGCCTTGACCAGTAGCTGCATATTGCAATGACTCAGCAAGCTAAACTGGCTGGAATTGTTCCTGCAGGTCCTACCATGTCAGGAAGATTGTTAGGATAGTGATTAGACTGAAAGCAGTTACCGGCATGGTGTAACAATTTTTTTGCACTATGCTGTGGGTCTGTCGGCAAAGTCGCACTGCTGAGGAACAGGGATGTAACAGCAGTAAGGTGTTTCCCTCAGACAACCAGCATGCCAGCCAGCTATGCTGTCTCTCCACTCTTGAGGGAGGGGGTTAAAAAAGGTCGAACCCAACAATTGTACATCCCGACTTACCGTACGGTGGTCCGTAACCGGCGGTAAGCTTACTAATACGGAACCAATCCAGGAAAATAGTTCATACAGGCCGTGTGTGACTGGCCTCAAGCAGTTGTCCCCTGGACTCTGCGGTCACGCAACATTAGCTCTCTTTTTCTTTCAGTTACCCGAAGAACCAACCAACTTCCACGGTGTTGTTAGCCGGCAAGTAACAACCTCCCACACATTTCCAAAAGCACACGAAGCCTTCTTGAGCATTATTCTCCTTTATCCACACTCATCTTACTTCCCTACTACAGTCAGTAATATTTTTCAGGCTAGTGAGTTGTCTTCACTTCATTCTGTGACCATAGAAATACCGCCGACAGCCTGTTAAAGCCACGCCGCCAACTTCAGATAGGAGCATTCAACATCAGAGATAGCCAGTGTGTAAAGATTACTGAACGTTGGTCTGAATGACGTGGAGGGGTTATAATGTCTGATCAGCTTCCTCAAGTATGCTACTCTGTGATACAAAACAAGTATTTCACTCACTGGATAATATTCTTAGCGTTTTTAAAATCAGTAATATTACATACTAAATTACATTGAAATCGCTTTACTGCTTTATTTATTTATTAGATTGTTGTTCCTCGGCTGCCAAGCAAGGCATGGAAACGCCAGTTACCTTTCCGGGCGGATGAGGGTATATTTGATGAGGATTTCATTGAAGAACGAAGGAAAGGACTGGAAGAATTTATAAACAGGTATGTCTTTTATTTTGTTGTTGAAATGTGTTTGCACTTATGAAATGCTGAACTCAAGATTAATGGTATGCTGCTAAAATTGACTAAAATTCTCCATATTGATTCTTTTTTTCTGGAAACGTTAATCACTACTTATTAATATCTCAGATCACAATTAAAAGTAGTTTATACTTTGGCAGATTCGGCAGAAATGTAGTGAGAGAATACAATGAGTAGTCAATGTTTGGTATTAGATGGTTGGAGGCAATCGACAAAAAGCCATACCTGATCTAGGTGTCGTGCTAATTGGCACTCGTCAACAAGGCGTATTTGCTACCGCCTTGAAAGAACTCATGCCCCTTGTGAAATCCTAACCCGCGTAACCACTCAGTGATGCAGTTAGACATTACCACTGAATCACATTAAAAACTTGACTGATAGAATTCAGTCTGTACCAAAGATAGGATTAGACATATTACACTAGTTACCAACTAGTGTCCCATCAAAGTATCCAGTATAGTCAGTCCCACAGGAGGTTAGTCGCAAGCCCGAATAGCTCAGTAGTATTGTCTGTGAATGTAGCACTAGGTTGTGACGCGGGTTCGAATCTCAGAATGAGTGTTCCCTCAAGGCGGTAGCAGGCACGCCTTGCTGACTGACTTGTGAGTGCCAACTAACACGACACCTAGGTCAGGTGTAGCCTCCTGCCGATTGCCTCCGACCATCTAATGCCAACAGTTTACAGTGCATTACAATGGCGAGCCACCTAGCCATGGTAGCCACATTGCAAACTTGACTGCCTGCACCAAACAAAGGAAGACTAGACACACTATACTAGTTGCTGACTAGTGTCCAATCAAGAATAGTGAATGAATAGATTAAAATTAATAGTGTACATAGAATTCTGAAGGTGGTGAGTAATAATAATAGTAATGGCTGCTTTATTCTGAACATTGTTTTTTGTATATAATGTATAGAATTTTTAGCGCAGTTTATTACATAATATTAACCCTTCGTCTAGAATCTTCAATATTATACCATCATTTGACAGTAGATGGGGTGACACAGTTCTATTTCATCTGAAGCGGAAACCAATCCATTGTGATATCTCTTCTTCTTCTCCATCGAGAAAAACACAACATTTTGTTGAATGCCAATCATGAAAAGTTCAGGAGTGCATTTTGTGAACCAAGGGCACTGCTCAGAAACAGTTATCTCATCTATCAGGATAAGTTACCACCGAAGATAATGCTTTTCGTCATGTTTGTCCGTCATGTTTGCAAGATGATGTTACAGGACTGGACTACGCCAACTCCTAGATTAGAAATAGGAAGTGAAGTGGTAGAGCACGTGTACCGCTTCACTTATTTGGGAAGTACCATCAGCCAGTGCCAACGGGTTGATCTCTGACGAAATCTCAGCACGGATACAGTGGGCTAGTTTCGCATATGCCAGTTTACGCCGTCTCTGGCGTAGACGTGACATCCAGCTATCGACCAAAGGACGTGTGTACTGCTCATCAGTCCGCTCCGTCCTCCTTTATGGCTGTGAGACCTGGCCATTGAGAGTGGAAGACATGAACAGCCTGGCTAGCTGTCTTTGATCATAGGTGCCTGCGTTCTATCTCTCGTGTGAAGTGGTATAATAAGGTGAGCAATATTCAGGTTAGACCTTGGTCGAGTGCTAGGTAAGGAGGGGAAATCAATCTACGAGGCTGTGAAGCTACATTGACGGAGATGGTTAGGACATGTGTTACGTATACCTCGTCATCGCCTTCCTCAACGGACAGTGTTAGCTGATATAGGGCCAGGCTGGAAAAGAGCTGGCGGTGGTCAAACCAAAACATGTCACCAGTCAATGAAATCTACAACAGTTAGTCTAAGCCACGCATGAAGGTGTAGACTTCCTGACTGGTTGGGGTCCTCGGGACGGTAAACACCAATGGTTGGAAACAATTGGTGATATGGCTCAAAGTGATCGTTCTCAATGGCTGGCTCAGATGCATCCACTCCCTGTGACTTATAATTTCCAATGAAACTGTTTTGTTCTTCGTTTTTACAATATTCCTTTGTCTCACACCTCTGTTAACTGCCCCTAATATGCATTTCTTCTACTTTTGTCTTGCTTTGTGTGCTATATGGAGGGAGTATGGCGACTTGAACTGCCGCACATATGTGCAAAGTTCTATGTCGAAAACAGACAGACATGTTTCGTAGACTAGACTTGCGAATTGGCAGGTTGCAGATATATTTTAAATACTCACCAGAGTTAAAAAATACTATTAGAGGCCATACTTTACTAGATTTAAACAAGCTGAATATGAGAAATTATATGCAATATATATGTTGATGGAGATTGTTTTCGATAGCCCAAGTTTTAAGCAGGCCTTCGAGGAATTGTTACACCTGAGCCACTGTGGATGATTTTCATTCATATCGCCCAAATTCTCCAACACTGTTGATTAGTGTTCTAAACATTTCAGTCAAGCAGCTTACGCTTCTCTGTGTAATTGGGATCTGTGGAAGTCAGAGTTATACATATGAAACTGTGGATTGGTGTATTAGACAGTAAGTTTTTATCCCCTCAGGTTCAGGTTTTCAGTACGCCTTTATGTGTCGTGTAGAATATAAGTAATTTCTGTTTCACTCTATGCTTATTTTGTTATCTTGCCATAATCGATTAGAATCTGAAAAATGGGAATAATCTTTATAAGTTACTCTTATTGGTCACTAAAGAATGTATTCCATAATCCTTGGGTTCAACCAAATTCTATCAAATTCACATTCAATTGTTGGTTCGCAGAGATTTGATTGGTTACAAGATTTCATCATGAACTAACTTCAGGTAAAAAAACCATTGGAAAACTTGATAGTAAAAAGTCGTAAGCAGTGGGGGTGGGTACAGCAGGTCGGGTGTGTGAGGACAAATACTCGCCACCGATGACATTGGCTAGTTGCAGTCGTGCCATATCGTGAATTGACAGGACTTGGAATTCACGACCTGACCAATAGATCGGGTCCCAATGAGTGGTTGAATAGTCTACGAGCTAGCTTGCCTTGTAACCAGAAGGTCCTGGGTAGTTCGAATCCTAGTGCAGGGGTGGGTGCGTATCGATGAAGAGTCCCAAACTAAACTGATGAAACAGCTGGCTGTCCAGTGCTGGTTTTCCAATGGTTCTCTAACTGATATCAGCTCATGATGAAATCATGTAATCTATCAGATTCACATTACCTCCAATGATTCTGGAAGACTCATCACCATTCACAGTGATCTTAGTGTCCTAGATACAACTTGATAAGTCTTGAAGTAAAGTATTGGAGAGAGAAACATTATTGATGTATCTTTGATAATCTTTAAAAAAGCAACTTGACTGTGAAATTTCAGATGTAACACTTTGAGGATATAAGTTCAAATATATGATTCATTTTAGATTTTCCCCGTCGATTGATGATTGGTTGGACCGAAGTGCTCGGTCTCACATTGACATATCGGCTCCTCCTTGTGTAAATGCTTCGACGATGTCTGTTTATGTAACTTGAAATCAATTAGTGGAGGATGGTGACTAGCAGTAGTAGTGGAATCCAAGATAAAGCACATTTCGTCCTATTTGGGACTCATCATCACCATGACTCACTGGGGAATACTGTTACATCCAGATGACGAGTTCCAAATAAGACGAAATGCACATTATTCTGGATTCCACTACTGCTAGTCACCATCCACCAACGAAATCTCAGCACGGATACAAGGGGCTCGTTCCGCATTTGCCAGTTTACGCCGACTCTGGCGTTGACGAGATGTTCGACTATCGACCAAAGGGCGGGTGTACTGCTCATCAGTCCGCTCCGTCCTCCTTTATGGTTGTGAGACATGGCCACTCAGAGTGGAAGACATGAAAAGACTAGCTGTGTTTGATCATAGGTGCCTGCGCTCTATTTCCCGTGTAAAGTGGCATAATAAGGTGAGCAACATTGAGGTTAGGCGTCGAGTTCTAGGTAAACAGGGGAAATCTATCGACAAAGTCGTGAAGCTACATCGACTGAGATGGTTAGGACATGTGTTACGTATGCCAAGCCATCGCCTCCCTCGACGAGCAATGTTAGCGGATATAGGGTCAGGCTGGAAAAAAGCTAGCGGCGGTCAAACAAAAACTTGGCACCAGTCAATGAAATCCACAACAGTTGGTCTAAGCCACGTAGGAAGGTGTAGACTTCCAGGCTGGGGTCCTCGGGACGGTAAAAATCTATGGTTGGAAACAATTGGTGACATGGCTCAAAATCGTTCTCATTGACAGCGCAGATGCATCCACTCCTTGTGACTTATGATCTCCAATGAAACTGTTTTGTTCTTCGTTATTACTCCTCCTTTGTCTCACCCCTCTGCTCACTGTTTCTATTATGCTTTTCTTATACTTTCTTCTCTTGCTTCGCGTGCTACACGGAGTGTGGCGACTTGAACTTCCGCACATTTGTGCAAAGTTCTATGTCGAAAACAGACAGACAGATCTACCAATTGACTATAAGTTCAAATAGTTCACTAGTTTTTGATTCCGTAATTTACCAAATACAGCCTAAACTAATTGACAATTATATTATAGCACAGCATCCATTGTATATGATGGCTTTATAGTATGAATGTTACTGTTGTACTTGAATATGTTACATTTTCATGTTTCAACTGCACTAACAAGTTCATGTCTTTTTGATTTCTTATTCTAACGTTAACACTGTTACTGAAGTGTATAAACTTTCAATGAGTGAGTTATATTTTTAACATTAGATTTATCAACTGTAGTTAAGATAATAAAGAGCACACTTTGATTACACAATTGACTCTTTCACTCCATATACATATATACTTGCAGTACATTGCTTTGTGCCTGTCACGGAAATAAGGTTGATGGTTTTTTGAAAACTTTTGTCAGTATACCCCTCCTGTTCTAACTTGTATATATTTTTTTGATTTTACTGTCCAACTGCTTTTTTTTTCAAAACTTCTGTGTAGTTAGCTTATTTAAATTA